TTATAAGTTATTTATATGATGAATAAGTATAAACAATGGGACATTGATCTAAAGAGGCAGAGCTACATTCTAAGAACGCAAATCCTTTCAAATTTAGTTCAAGAGGACCACCGGAAAGACACCTAGCAGGGAACCCAACGAAAATGAGAGAGGACACACACAAGTGGTGGATAAACTGAAAGGAGGTGATTTTCATCTTGTGAAATCCCTCTTGAGCAATGAATGTATCAAACATAAATTTTAATGTTTTCACACCTAACCTGCTAACCACACCATAAATGCGGACACCGAAATGGTCTAGCGTATCAGGATCCTTATACTTTATAAGGATCCATACTTCCTTACGAAACATGTTTAGAAAAAATGGGAGCATCACACATTCGGTTCTGACTTTATCTATAAATATAAACTATTTCGGAAATTACACTTTTTGCATAATATTTTGAGCGGCTTATCAAAAGTGCGCATGTTATATAGACTCTTTCATTTTTACCACGATTACATTCTGTGAACATTGTTTCTATTACAGTGTTGTAGTGTAGCCAAAAAGTAGTTTCTTTTTGGTCATCAAAGCAAAATATTTTAAAGCCATTTTCCAAAGTGGTAAAAGTATATGGTTTTAAACAAGTTTCTTAACGTTAAAAACCTTTTTTTATGTGTTTCGGTTTATAAACTCTAAAATAACAACAAAAAGGAATCTTAGGTCTTCGCTCACCAAAAATAAAAAATTGAAAATTCGCCGTATGATCATTAAAGTGTATGTTTGTTTAATGCCAAACAGAATAAAAATACAGGCAATCAAATAAAATAAAATAAAATTCATCAAATACTTGTACGTTTGAATTTTTTGAAGAAAATGTTATATTTCCCTCCCAGTACCATCACCGATGCAGACACCGATAATTCTTTTTCAACTGTATGAGTTTTCCGTCTTCTTTAAACATTAGGTCATATTTAAAGTAAATATTTTAAGATAAAGTGAAAACAATAACATGTACTTAAAAAAATATTGAAATATCGGTGCTAAAATAATGTTTCAGAAAGTAAAACGATTAGCTACGCTTTTCCAGCAGCATGCTAATTTTTATGTTTGAGAAAGGTAAAATATTGTCAAGTGAAAAAAAGAAAGTAAAGACACACCGGAAGCGGCACTTAGAATCTTAAGAAAAGGATACCAAAATATAGGTCAGAATATGCTTAAATAGCCGTTTCATCGCAGTAAAAATATTGTAATAAATACTTCAAAATTAAAATCAGTCAATAGTTGCATTTAACATGTAATGTTCTTTTAAAAAGATAGTGTTACTTTTCTTAAAATCTTAAAATGTTAGTACATTTTTCTCGGTTGATTTTAAAGAAATATATTTAGCTCATCTGGAGGCTTGCGGCTTTTAATGCCATTCGAAATAATATACTATCTTTATACGTCATTACCTGTGCGATCTGCGTGTTTTTAAGACCTTAGAACAGCAAAAATGTTACAAGAGAATATGAATACAAGGTTTGAATATTTAAACGGTTTCATGGTGATGATGTTTTAAAGCGGTATCTATCATTACTCACTGGCTGCAGGGGTGCTCTAACCTAATATTAAACGTCCATTAACCTGTTAAAGTGTACCAATTTAAAATGAACAATTGTATAATGGTTTGTATACTAAACGATAATTGTATACTTAAACTGTACATTCTATAGTATTTTATGTCAGCAATTTGACTTTACTTAACTAAATCATTAGTAGATGGTACTACTATAACGTAATACTTATTTTTGAGAATCAATTGAAAAGAAGGATAAACTTGGGGTATTTTATCAATTCACCTTACAACGTATAGTTTGTTATGCAAATGTAACTGTCCAGCGTCTATAATATGGTATATTTTATTGTATAGTCAGTGACTGCCTGGGTTCTTTTAAACCAACGATTACAGATCTAAGCACTTGTTGATAAAATTGTAACATTTCGCAGGAAGAAGAAGGCGAAAGTTTGGGAACAAAGTATTCTCCTTTTTTAATAGGAATTACTGTGTAAGAACTATTCCTATTTAGCTCTTATCTTTGATAAATGTCTCTAAGTTAACAGTTTATGTTTATACGACCTATATAGCGATCAGCATTTGTAAATACTATTCAAATAAATTAAATTTGTTTGAAACACTATTGTTTCATTGACTTTTTATACAAAAATCTTTTCCTATTACAAAATATAGCAACATGATTGCATGTTTCTTCGTTATTCAAAATTGTGTCTTTAAAGGAACTCGACTGAGGTCTTAAAGCTTAAAAAACATAAAACTTTAATTTCTTACATGGATCAGCTGGGCACTTCAAACAGAAATATATGCAAAAGAGAGAAAGTATACTCAGAATATAGGTTGAATATTATATGTTTGTGCTACTCTCAGTCCGATTTTAGGTCATTTAGGATAATTATTCTTGAAAAACGGAGAGAGTGAATGAACTAAAATTTTGCACACAAGTTGTTGGGCTAGACTTACACGTATTAAAAATGGAAATGATTTCCAGTCCCGTTATTTGAAAAGAACCTAAATGGAGTCCCTTTAACAGTTATATATTAACAATCAAAATCATTAGCAATAAAAAGTAAAACGTACTTCATGTGGTATATTATATAAACTACATCATAAATAACCGAAAATATGAATTGCAATTTATCATATATTGAATATGTTTTATCGTTATGTTTTCATATTCTAGTATGCAATATGTCCTAGACATTTTGCATATCATTACATCAGATTCCAGCCAAGAGTTATATGTCCTTGGCCGTCTGCATAAAATTTGTTTTTCTCCTTAATTTAAAACTGGACCTCGTTTGCATTTGTATTCATTATAGTTGTAACTCATTTTAAGAATGCGAAATAACAAATGGCGGTTTTATGATTTCATTCAATATTACAGTTTTAATTAACATTGGAAGCATAATTTTGGAATTCATAATTTCCAATAATGAATGACAACTATGAAAACATGGAAGAATGGATTATAATAAAGAAACGTCGTCAAATTTTGAGATTTGTGAAGTGGTTGAATCATTGATTAGCTATTCTTTCGTTTGTAGCTAAGACAACGAAGTAATTTTATGACGAGGAAATTAGTTCACTTTGAAAAAGCTATCTTCCATTGTGAATTTAATGAGTACAAACCAACAAACCAACTTTATTATCATATTATAAAGTGAGGAGTTTGTTTGTTTGTTTGTTTGTTTGTTGTTGTGTGTGTGTTTTTATTTGTTTTTTGTTTTTTTGGTTTTTTAATATCAGAAACTTATTGCTTTGTTTGCAAAGATAATATTTGAAAAATAAAAATGATAGTAATAAGATAGCATCATTTTTATCAGTAAAACAAATTAAATGGCATGCAAATTGAAGTATGATGTAAAAACAAAATAAATAAAAAACACAAATACGAAATAGATAATTATTGTAAAAGCTATTTTTAAATTAAAAATAGGTAATTATTGTAAAAGCTATTTTAAATTAAAAATGAGAGATATGTTTTTTATGGTTTCTTTATATGATTTTTCTAATTTCTCTTCTTTTCTTTTTTTGGAAAATATTTATTTATATAATTATTAGACTAAATATATATTTATTTTTCGGTGTTATTTCAAATACGACATTATCTCAAATATCTCAACTTTGCAAAATAGTTTGATAATTATTATAACCTAATTATTATAATCTTATGTTTACACATCTAAACGGTCATTTTTTATGAATATTGATAAAGTTATTATTTTTTACAAACATTATTAAGTTTTAGAAAAACGTAAGGATATTAAATAAAATTTTTTTACATTGAGATATATTTAAATGAGTAAAATGTTAAATTTTATGATTTTTTTCTCAATTTTAGCACCAGTAAAATACTGTTTTTATTTATTTAAGGTTGGCTTTGAAAGTATGTACAGCTTTGTTAACTCTCAATTCGGTTTCCTAAAAACTAACCAATACTAGTGTCCTAATAAAAGAAGAATGGTCGTGACCTTACAAATGGTCAAACCCACTCTCTTGTTTAGTTTTTAAATGCTAATTTAAATTAATGATTTAAAGTGTTTTAGAATATACAGGTACAATTATTTGATGTTCTTCACTTCTTCTTCTTCTTTTTAAAGAAAAGTAATACAGCATAACGTAAAGAATGTTGATAACGGACACATTATATGAAATGAAAAAAAAACTACCTTCAAATCTTGAAGTGAAAGACAACATCTTATATTCCACTTCATACTGACAAACTTAAAGAATTTGAAAATAATGTAGTTTGTATGTAAAACGAAAATGAATTGCTATCAATTTTAAATATCAAACAAAAACAATTTAGAACCATACACTCTATGTCCTTCTATTGCATTAATGTATGAAAGTAAAAAGAGAATATGTAAAATAAAAAACATTATCCTTGAAATAAGAAATGTTACTGTTTAATTACTTTTGCAATTAGGAATGAAAAAGTATATTAGTTAATGCTAAAAGAATTTCAGGAATGGCAAAAGCAAATATAAGATAAAGATATTTTTTATGGTTATTTATCTTCCTTTAAAGTTTCCATTGTACATATCAAATTGGCATTTTCAACATTTATTTACTTGTTCATTTGAAGAAATAAAACCAATTTTATCATGTATGTTGTATTTTATTATGAGAAATACTCATTTTTATTTTACAAAAATATAAGAATATAATTGAAATTTTAAAATGCACATCTTAAATAGTAGCAGTTGTTACAAATGCACAATGTGTTTGCAACGAACTTCAATATTATATAGTCTCACAAAAAATATGAACCACTATCATAAAATATGTACAAATTGATAAGTCTAGAAATACTTATACGCAAACATTGTTTTTTTGTATTTTTTTACAAAAGTAATATTATAAAGTAAAACGTTATCACTCCTTAACAGCACTATATGATAAAGTACGTGGTATATGTTTAGTTAGAATGTAACAATATCCGAAATTACAGCGATTTATTCAAAGAAAATAATGTCTTTGCTAATGATGGTCGTGACTTTTCCTTGCATACGGAGAAAACAAAGGTGGATGATATGTTGGTGTAAACCCCCTTCTAGAATGTACATAAAGACACTGTGTGCACGCACACGGCGCCTGCCAACGCGGATCGATCACATGATGTTCACTTCCGGTCACAGGACTTATGGCACTTGGCAAAGATTTCTCCTTGTTTCCAGTTGATTTTTCTTCAAGTTCAGCTGAAGCCAACGTTCGCGTTGACGTCGGCAAGAGAGGGAAATGAAGGCTGTGAGGTGTTGGTTGCGGCTGTAACACCGGCGGCGTCGGTGAAGGACGTTTGTCCGATCTATACACATCGCTTACAAGTTTTTTCATTTCCTCCAAAGAATTAGTCAACATCAGAATATAGTTCTTGGCGAGCAGCAATGTCGCAATTTTAGATAATTTTCGCACTGAAGGTCCATGCGCATACGGCATCACTTCCCTTAATCCATCCAGAGCCGAGTTCAAATCATGCATTCTTTTCCTTTCTCTTGAATTGACTTTTAACCGTAAATCTTGTAGCTCCTTTTCATCACCATCTTTATCTGTGATTAGTTTTCTTCTAGTTCCAGAAGATCTGCTGTGTCCTTTTTGACCAGTATCTGAGTTAAAATCTTGATTTTCCTGGGATGAATCACTGTCGTACATGATTGACGGACTTATTAAACTCCCGCTCGAAGATTCATCCTGACCATAAACCACAGAAATCTCTTTCCCGTCTTTTTCCATTGTTAGAGCAATGTTTCTCAGACGAACATTTGTTCTGGACTATTTTCCGTCTGGTGAATGGTGACATGGGACTGATACATGTTACCTAGGTTATCAAGTGGCATGCGCAAATGTCAATCAGTGGCTGAATGGGTGTGGTTAAACAAGATTTAATAGGGGAGCAAATTAAAGTATTTTATGCTTCAGCGATGGCAATTGTGAAGATGTGAATATGGCCACCTCATTTGACGCGAACACTGGATGATTGGTAATTGAAGGCGGTTAAGACCTAATGATTCGGAAGAGAATACGGTTTTTACATGGTAAAAGAATTTAGTACGCAAGATCGAGTCAGTCACCTCGTAAAGCATTATAATGTTTGCTGTAACCGATTATTTGCGGTAACTTTACATGGGTCACTTTAATGGACTTCTTTAAACAAAAAACAACACGACTTCGTTTTAGGGCTAACAATATGCTCGAGTCTGTTTAAGAATCTTTGGGAAAAAAGGAATGTTTGTTATTCAATTGCGAATCTGTTTTAAAGTGACATAAGGAAAATGGCATACGCGAAAAAGACCATGTGTCGTTTGTTGAAAGAGGTTCTTAAAAACTATTTTTTTTATAATATTCGCTTCCTATGTTTCTTGATATTACAATATTCCACAAAATAAAAATTAAAAGTAAGATATCCAGATAATCTAAAATTATATAGTTCTAAGTACATGTATTAAAAAAATAAAAATATAATTATGTTGAAAGTATCATAAAAACATGCATGTATGATAACGAAATAAGTGGAGGTTTCCTTCAAAGTAGAAATTATCGCTGATCAATCGAATTGGAAACTTAAATTATAACAAGAAAAGATTTGAATGATAAAAAGTATATTTTCAGCATTAATATTTGCTACTTCGTTTTAAGTTTCCATACATTAAACATGTGAATGACTTATCCCTTTTTTCCATTACATACGGTACATGAAAATACAAGTTATCAAATCGAGTTTCCATCTCAGCCGACAAAAGTAATGATTGTTTCACACATATTTGATTTTTGTTGCCGTTTTTTTTTTTATTTCTGAAAGTTAACATTGTTCTGGAGCATTGAATTATTTGTATTGATGACTTCTACCAGTAAAAAATACCCTGCAACGATTCTAAAATGTGTGATGCAGAATTTTTTCTACTTTTAAAGTATCAAAGATAATTTTAAGTTTGTATTTCTGTTGTTTTTGTTGTTGTTGTTGCCGTCGTCGTCATCGTTGTCGTTGCTTTTTATTGTTGTTGTTGTTGTCGTTGTTGTTGTTGTTGCTGCTGCTGCTGCTGCTGCTGCTGCTGATGCTGCCGCCGTTTTTGCTGCTACTGTTACTGATGTTGTTATTGAAAGAAGCTACATGTTGCATAATATTTCTATCATTATTTCTTTAATGTATACTCTTAAGTATCATTTAGCTATTATCTAATCATATGTGCAGTCACAAAATGCTTCATGATTTTTACATTATATACCAAGTACAGTCTGTCGCAAGCTTGCTGACATCATGTTTTATTTGAACTTTTCAAAGGGCACTTACAACACTGCATGTTGTAACATGCACTTATTTCAACAAAAGCAACATCTAATAGTAATATGAAAAAGGAATTGGATTTGTAATCGGAACCGAATATTTCGTTGAAACGGCCCTTTCTAGACTTTCACAAACCTCCATTTTACTGCACGTCTTCATTCTCGAGTTGTTACGAAGGGGAGGTAATAGCCAGTGTATTTAAACAAGATGCATGAAACCAAAGGGAGGTTATCCAGATTTACTTGTTTTGTTTGTTGTTGTTGTTTGTTTTTTGTTTGTTTGTTTGTTGTTATTGTTATACTTGTTTGATTGTTTTTTGTGTGGTTTACTTGGGGTTTTTTTAGGGGAGGGTGGAATTTTTCAAGATTGACTTTATTTGTGTTGCTAGTTCTTCATTTGCATTTTGGAATCTAAATGTTTAAGTATTTTCTGTTCGTGTCGAGTCATAAACTAGAGTGAAAACAAAAGACGTAAATCAAAAATTTAAACAAAGGTGCATATTTGAGGCATATTGTGCATCTTAAATTTTAACCGTCGTTGGGTGACAAAGACTTACAAGACATTAACAACACATTTCCGTCACATGTGATAAACATACCTTCCACTGATGCTAACGTTAACGTTAAGTTGACGTTATGCACCGTTACGTAGCGTTTTTCTGCAATTACATGTCATAAACATAATTATTCATTAGTCTTTAGTCTAATTTATGTATATGTTTTTTAAATTAGAATTAGAATTTGAATGTCACCAAAAAACATAAACAAAAAAAAACAGCTTATATTGATTTTGAAAATAGCCTTGCGTATTTAGCCATTCAAAACTTTATTCACTCTTTTCAATGTCATTTGTAAAAGTCGACATACAATGTATAAGAATGGCAATAAACAATTAGATAAGTAGGAGATATTCAAGATTTTTGCTTTAAATACAGGATTTATTCTCATCGAGTGGTATGAAATATGATAAATTTCATGTTACAAGATGAAAATAAATTTTGTATTTATAGGGAAAAAAACTTGAATTTTATGTTTATTATATACCTTTTTTGGCCTTACAATTTTTAAGATTTCACATTTGAGTTTTGTGTATTGCCTAAAGTAAGAAAAAGTAGTCTAGTAAAACACAAGTAAATATACGGGAAATATGTTTCACTGCTATGAAAAATATTGAAAAATATTTTTTTTACAGGGAAAATACGGTTTTTTATTTAATCAATATTTCCACGAATGTCATTTAAGTCGTGATATTTCTCTTTATTTAATTTACAAGTATATACACAGACTTTTAGTACAGATAAAGCTGCTCCGTGGTATATAATAAATTTCTGTATTCAAATCTATTTTGAATTATTCATGGCTTACTATTGGCAGACACTGCATAATATTATGACGCTATTTAGATTATAAAAATAAACGACAATGGATGGGAAATCAATCCTGTATTTATTTATATTCTACATGTATTTTATCCATAACTATATAACGTATCGTAGTATATTTGCGGTTCTGTTGTTGTTGTTGTTTATTAATAATATTATTTTCATTTTATTTTTTCTTTCTTTCTTACTGATTGCGACTTCTTACGTAATAACTCAGAAAAATTATTGTTTTATTCCAATTGTGCAGGAACGTATTGATCAGCTTATAGACACTTCTTCATCTGTAAGTTAAAGGACCTTGAACTTTTGCATTCAAATCTTTGGCGTGCCTTGTGTGTTTTTCAAGTTTGTCCTCCGCTGTTGGTTCAGTTTTCAGTAAACAGTAAAATGTTGTTATTTGCTGATAAACTGGATAGAACTAGTACTGAATCAAGTAACGCTCACTCAAAACAGTCCGCATGTTGATATCATAATTTTAAATTGGTTACTTAATTTACAAACGAATGTCAAACGCACTTCATTCAGAGTAGACATAATGCAGCCTAACTATTAAGTTCAGCAAAATGGTCGGTAGTGGGAAAATAAGGAGGGAAATAAGACTGGAGGTACGAACATTCGGAGCACCTCGTCGACTTCCACAGTCGTATTTTCTCGGACGGTTCCGTAACGGATACGTTATGTCGGCCTAACTTACCATAACAAACTAAACATGTAAACAAATAGTAATTTGATGCAATATCATATATTGGGTAAAAGTCCACCTCAAGTCCGAACGGGGCCGCAGACCCCTTGAGGGCTGTAGCGCTCTTCGATAACATGTATGACGTGTATAAGTTAATCTAAAATCACAATAAATAATATAATGAATAAAAAATATAATTATATCTCTAAGTTTACCAAGTTTGATAAACATTCTTAGTTAATAGGGTGCCGCCATCTTAAAAAATGTGGACTGGTTCTGTATTTAAGCTATATTTAGATTATAGGACGCTTTTGAAAACCCCCATTCGATCACAATTTAAACTGTTTCTAGAAGACGCCACAGTCTTGTGACATAATACCTTCCGGAAGGTAGAAAATAAGTTCCAAGCTCAATCCTCCAAAAACATATTAAAATACCTTTATATTCTACAGTAAGACTTGCTGTCCACAAGTAAATCTTTAAAGCGACTATAGATAAATACGTGAAAATCAAGTCATTTTTAACAGATTTATTTAACAAAAAATTTGGACTGTTACTTCAGCAAACATGATTAAAACATCATAAGAAATATTACAAATGTGACGAAAATATATTTTAAGCAGGAACCGGCCACCATTCTATACCTTAAAATCAGATGATTAGTCAAAAGAAAGTCAGTTTTGAAGCTAGAAAAGCAATATTTTCCTCAAACCTAATCATTATGTTTGATAATAAAGCAAAATAAAAAGCTCTAGGACAAATCATCCTTTTTACTAGACTTGTTTCCGTACATTTTTGTATTTACTTTAAAAAGTTACTATAAAAGTTCGAAATAAGCGTTTAAAACGAGCCTACATCTGCTGATGTCTCTCTAGGATCTATGTTGTTTTAGCTCATTTTTTTGTAATAATGATAATAATATGAGTTTCTTTCTTGTTCAAACTCTAATACGTTTACCTCGACATTTCGTTATCTCGACATCTTTAGACGGTCTCGATGACTTCGAGATAACGGGAGTCGACGGTGTATTTTGATATTGTAATCCCAGTAAGTTACTATTTTACTAATTCTGATCAAATCCATTCAAATGTCAGCAGGATACTTGTCTGATTTTGATATATCATATCCAAAAAAACAACAACTATGAATTACGTCGTTTAGCCGACGTATTAATAAATCAAAAAGCCCAAATATACTAGTTACAATTGTCAGTTAATTGTCAGATTTTTTATAAAGGTATAAAAACAAAGAAATTTTGAAATAACATTGTTGTTTTCTCCTTGGTGTTGACAAGAAAATTTAAAGTACATGTATATGCAAAGTAAAATATGTAAATTCGCAAAAAATTATTGTAAGCATACGGGCCGAAAACAAGTTTTAACCAGTTTGTGTCGGAGAAAAAAATATAAAAAAATCTTATCGTTGAAACAAACAAATACGTTGAAACAAACAAATACGAGCAAGAACTTAAATGTTGAAATAAATGAATCACCATCACTTCATAAAAACGCCACAAGTTATAAATTTATACCTGTGACCACAAGTCATAAATTTGTAACTATATATAGGCATTGGACCATCATTAACTAGATGCAAAATTCCGTTCATCTTAAAATATTTAAATAATTGATTAATTTACTTTCTTGAAAGACAGAAAAAAATACATAATCAATTATGCTTTTACACTAGTAGGAATGCATTTTTCCTCTTCAAAAATAATTTTGTCCTCTAAGCTATGCTTAAAATGGTTATCTTTGGTTTTGTTTTAATATAAAAAAATAAATATCAATTCATAAATAAATAGGACTTTCATAACACAAGTTTGCTTTATGCGAGTCTTACTCAGCCTACTTAAAATCCATGCACTTCCAATAATTAAATAGTCATTCAGAGACCTGTCCTCAAATTAAATAAGGTTACATAAATTAATCGTCCCACGAAGATTCTTCATTTTCGGAATGGAATTCCTCACTCTCCTCATTGTTACCAAAATTAGATGGGCTGTTATCGAATGTGCTCAAACCACCATTTAACCAATGATCAGAATTCTCGTTTTGGTTCGTGAAATAAGAAGACGTGTCTAATGTAAACTCTGGGAGAGAGAAATCCGGTGCTGGGCGATCAGGGAACGTATCCGAAATATCACTTACAAATTCGCCCACGTGACTCATTGGATTTTGAAATGTGTCCGAAAAATCACTAACAAATTCACTCGCCTGTTTAACCGTATTTTGGAACGTGTCCGAAATGTCACTTACAAAGTCGTTGACGTGACTAACTGGGTTTTGAAAATCATAACTTAGATTTGGGAAACCAGAATCATCCATGTTTGTATAGTCTCGCATTGTGTCAACACCGTCACTTATTCTGTCTGAAATATCTATATTTGATAATGGGTTTTGAAAACTAAATCTTTCTCCAATATCTACGTCTTCTGAATCCTGTGTTTCTGGTAATCTTCCACTGAGAACACCGGAAGTCGTCTCAAGAATCCTTTCCGTTAAATCCGAATCTTCGTCATTTGAACGCTTGTTAGAAAGAATAGAAAGTAAGCCGCTGTCATCGCTGTCGTCTGCTTTTGAAGAAGGAAATTCAAATCTTTTAGAAAGGGAATCGGAACTAGAATCATCTGAATCTTTAGTGGCAGAGTCATCTTTATCATTTTTGTCTTCTTTATCATCATTATCCTCTGAAGTGCTTTTTACATCTAAAATGTAATAAATATGTTACTATTAAAATCCGAGTGATACAATGACGTGAATATGGCTGAACTCAAAGGACGGACTGGTACAGACTTTAGACTTCTTAAATTCTTTACATATATATTTAAATAGTAAGGATTAAGTGTAAGTACATGTATTTACATTTCAAATAGCATTGTTGTCTTTCTTTTCACGTGAATCTTTATTTCGAATCTCGGGAATGATTCGTATCATAAACAATTCGTACTCTTAAAGTACACTATTTAAAGTTTAATGTAACGACATATAGTATGACAAAGAAATAAACAACGGATTTGTATGTTTCTTTCCTTTTTTGAAATATGTTGATCATGCTTTAACATATCATGCAAAATAAACAACAAAAATTACAAAAACCGCTACTTCATGTTTCAACTTTCGCATTTTTTTAATAAAGAAAAGAACCTAAATGATCTTGATGCTATAACTACGGAAAAAGAATCGATAAGATCTCTAAAGATCGTGTTAATAAGTCACATGAAAGATCATTTTAGAGCAGGCTATAAATGAGTGTGTCAAGAGATGACTTACTAACTGAACTTTTTGACTTCTCGAGGGGAAAATCAAGCCAATGTCGTATTAATTAAGATCTGTGAAATGTGTCCAACTACTTTTCTACAATAACTTATTTAATATGACGCTTATAAATGTATCACGACACTTTTGAGTTATTTCATCATTAAACCAAAGAGTTTTATCACCAATTTAGGTAGTTTGTGAACTTTTGCCATTTTGTTGGTCATCTATTTGGATAAGCAGCACTTGTGAAAGGTCACCTAATTAAAATGTAGAATAATATGACGGATTTAACATGTGACTCCCTTTCAAAGAATAATTAATGATTGTTGTGCTCTAATTAATTCACTTATTAGAAGTGAAAAAATTGTCAAAAGTTTTGTTTTTTGTTTTGCTTTTGAAGGGGGTCCTTTTTCTTTTTTATGCTTTGTAGATCTATATGAAATATATTTTCCAAATACAAAAAAAATAAATTCAAAATATGTACGTCTTTCACTTTGACCGTATGCTGGTCTCTTTATTGTATGTACATATTTTACCACGTTTTATCCGTTGTTAATTTATGTTTATAGGTGGGTCACTTATGATTGACATTCTCAATTACATTTATTTGTTAAGTTCACATATCTGCCGTATTTATTGGTTTGACCTGTCCCTTTCTGACGACACGTTTGTGAAATATTTCTCAATCCACAATTAATTACGATGAATTATTTCCCTTTTTACAAATGGCCAAATAACCTAATGACCTGATGCACTCACTTTAATCTGAACAAAATACTTTCATATGCAATATTTTATTGTTAATCTTATTTAAAATGTCAAAAAACAGTGTTGTCTATATCCCGTCGTCCGCATAGCTTACAATATATATAGCTGGTAACAATGTCTTACCATTGTGTTGTTTGTATTTATTGCACAGTGAATAACGTTTTTTGATTATCAAACCTAACTCTATTGTCTTATGATAGACATTTTAAGTGCATGCCTTAATCTTTAACTATGTTCTTATGTTCAGTTTAATTATTTACAGCGTTCATATATTCATTTTATAATTGAAAAACAAAAATGCACCGCACCTATAAATCTGTCAGAATGATGCATAAGATACCAATACAAATGTTGCATAAAAAGAACTAGATGGTGTACTATAATTAGATAGCTTTATACGTAACTATTCAGAGCAATAACCGCAAAGCACGGTCGTTGTCCTTTTTAATGTTATTTGTTTTATATCACTAAACAAATATCATGTATCAAAATAATATATATACATGCATAAAAACCAATACTCTTGTGTTAATTATTATTTAAGAAATGTCATATCATATAATTAATTGATGATAATTAAAACAAACAATTATTACCACGATACGAAAGTTCAATGGACTCGAAAAATAACCCAAAAAAAATCGAAAATCATGCGTTATAAAAATCATGCAATATCGCTCTTGTTTAAAATCAATCAATCAAAAAAGGGCTATTTTAAGGGCATGCGTCACATGCTAAACAAAGTTCAATCATGCATCAAGACACGCCATTCTGCAGCAAAAATAAAAAAGAAACGCCACGCCACGCCTTTCATGCCAGCTTGCTTGTTTGAACTTACCTTTAATTAAAAGATGAAGTAATTTTATGCTCGTGCAAAAAGTCATGCATACCTTCAAATTCATGCAGGGTACCAACCATGGTCATTTCCGGTAAAATTTCATGCCACGTGATGTCTTACTTTTATATATCCAACTTCTTTCTTTTAACAGAAATGTGGCGGATCTGTTTCTCCAACATATGATTTTATTAAAACCTGTCTTATGTGCGACTTGTGTACTTTTTTAATCAAAATTCATGGACATGTCTGTCTAAATTACTTTGCTTGGTATTTTATGTACACAAACATATATTTGATAACCATGATACACTGGCTAATCATGCGGTCAGTTAAAAGTTTTTGATTACCGATTACGTACAGGAATTTTAGAAGATTATCATAATGATAAACATTTATTTGCTTCGTTACCGAATGAATCATTTCAGACTTTGGTATCATTATTTAGTAAAACATTTTTTTCAACAACACATAACTCATAATTCATTGCTCAATTTAAGCATTTGCAACAAACATCTCCGAAAATCCAAAACAATACCGCCACATTCCTTTATGTAAATCATTCATTACCTGATATAAACATGCAAAAGGTCCATGCAGGGGGAAATAAATTGGTATAGCATTCAATACATTGCCTTTTTCACGGTATTCCACCACATCATGCTCTGCTTTGATTAACTTACCTCGTCGACCATCTCGATGCCAGTGTCTACTACACGGTCTACAAAGTCTACAATATGGTCACCACCTTCTTCAACAGCATCGCCAGCCTGTTCAAAAACTGAACTTACGCTATCAGAGACAGAATCGCCAATATGACTATACAAATCTCTAAAATTATCTAAATTGCTGTCGTCATTTGCGTAAATCACATTAAAGGGCCCAAAAGCATCGCTAGCAGTATCTGCTATATTAGCAGTATCTGCTAAATTAGCAGCATTTGCGTTATCATTGGCTTGCTCAAGAGCATTATCTATCAAGTCACTAAAACTGTCTACAGTACTATCAAAATCCATACCATCAGGAATATCTTTGCTGTCGAAAATTTCTTCAAATATATCGCTTATATCATCAGTTTCTCGACCGTCATCATTAGTGTCTTTGCTGTCACTTTCGTCGCTATCTTTGCTGTCACTTTCGTCGCTATCTTTGCTGTCGCTATCCTCGCTTTCTTTACTGTCACTATCGTCGCTATCTTTGCTGTCGCTCTCTTTGCTTTTACTATCATCGCTATCTTTGCTGTCGCTGTCGTCGCTATCTTTGCTGTCACTATCATCGCTATCTTTGCTGTCGCTATCGTCGCTGTCTTTGCTATCATCATCGTCACTATCTTTGCTGTCACTTTCATTGCTATCTTTGCTGTCACTATCGTCGCTGTCTTTGCTGTCACTATCGTCGCTATCCTTGCTATCATCATTTGAATCGTCTTTGCTGTCGTCCTTACTATCATCACTGTCGTCACTTTTACTATCGTCATCATCATCGTTGTCATCACTGTCACTATCATCGCTTTTACTATCGTTTTCGTCATTATCTTCGCTGTTATCATCACTGTCATCATCTTTATCATCACTGTCATCGCTGCTGTTATCACTGTCATCATCATCATTATCATCCTTGCTATTACTTTCATCGTCATCATCACTGCTATCACTATCGTCGTCACCATCATCATCCTTACTGTCACTGTCATCGTCATTTGATTCGCTACTGTCACTGTCATTGGAATCATCATTTACATCTCCTGCTTGCTCAAGAATTTCCTCAATAAGTTCGTTAGGCTCGGTTAGAAGTTCTAGGGCATTTTCAACTTGATCTTCCATTGTTTCTAGAAGGTCTTCCATGCTTAATGCGTCCGATTCTGTTAATGACTGTTGGTTTTCTATCATTTCTTCGACGTTATCATTCACATTTTCTGACATTTCATTCAGGGTTTCCATCATTGAATTATCTAAATCACCAAGTAGTTCCCCTGCGTGTTCAGCCATTTCACCGGGCATCTCAAGAAGATCGCCGACGATATCAGCCGCTGTATCAGCGACATCAGCCACTGTATCAGCAGCATTGCTGACTGCCTCGTTCATGTTTTCTGAAATATCACTAACGGTGTCTTGGACATTTTCGATAACATCTGTACCAGACGCTGCTAATACTAAACCAGCATCAAAGTTATTTTGTACCGGTGGCGGGGGCGTCGGTCTTTGTGTAGTTGCCGCAATCCCGCCCTGAAAATGAAGTATTTCCAGCTGATTAATGATTATTATAATTGACTTCAATACGTCTTTTAAGCCTTAATTAAATTAGATAAATTTTTGTTGAATTTATCAATAATTATAGTGTCTTTGAGCACATTATAGTTTATTACCGTGTTGCTGATTCAACGTTATTCAGTTTGAAAAAAAATAGTACATTGAATTACGTTCTGAAGACTTGTGACTTGAATTATTTCTATAGATATATAAAATTATCATGATGGACATGCTAAAATACTAACCAAGGCGTTCAAACTTCCGTCAAGTTTTCTTTTGTCTGCTCCTCCAGCCATCGCCCCGCCAGTTAGAGCGTCACCCCGTCCAGCCAATGCATTCTCTTCTACCACCGGCTGAAACAATACAAAAAATGGAACATCCTGAGCAAAGTCAACGTGTTAGAAGTTATCGTGACTGTTTATTTTCCAGGGACAGAATAAAAATAAGTGATTAATTGTAACAAATTGAAAGAGAACATCTTAATCAAATGTACTTTTTTTATTTATAGTCAATATCACAACTAGACCAACTTTTTCGGACTTGAGACAAAAAGCAATTCCGTTCACCGCCCTTGTTGTTACATATTATTGTTTCATTTCAACTTATACTCTCCGATAATAAATTTTAGGAGGAAATGATTTTGAATTATGGGTGGTATTACATCATATATCTAATATAAGGGGCCCTTAATGTCAAATTTGGCGACTTCTGTATGCCAAACAACTTATTTGGTACATCTATATGTCAAGGTTAAAATCATTATGGCTACACTGTTGTTCTAGTGAGTTTGTAGTGAAAATGGCGGTCTTTTCTGCATGAGATTTCTTGAATTTTATAATTTTATCAGTTTATGTACATGTGAATAATGACAACATGATATTCGATTATACATGTTCAATAAAAAATACATGCAAAAATGTATCACAGAACAGACGTTTCATTGGCAATTGGCTATCACAATTTTGAACGAAATTTACATTTACTAAATGATAGTTTTAAGATTATCTACATTTCTTTTAAGATTATCTACATTTTCTTTTGGTGTACATGTACATTCACTCTCAAACATTGTTAGTCTATCTAATCTGCTAGTACCACTATGATAAATTAAGCGGTCTATGACATTTTAGTAAATTTACTACATTTGTATTACATTCTTTTCATTGTTCAATAGTATTGCGAAGTTTTGAACGCTTAACACCCGTACGCAAAACATTGTTATAGTATCAAATTAATCTCAAAATTGCTGAAGAGATTGCCGTCAAAAGGTTGCTTCAGCTTAGTATAAAATTGTTAAACTGTATTATACTTTGTTAACATATCAATTAGAGTATGTTTAAAACTACTGATTTGCCGATACAATCAGCCTTTTTTAAGTTTCTATAGACCAACTCATAGATATTCAAATAGTTTTATATTTTTCACATATTTTAAAAGTATGACTCTGCTTTTATTTATTTATTTATTTATTTATTTATTGTCAATTTCGGTATAATTAGCATAAAATCAATCATTTTGCATTAATACACCATTCGTGTAAATCCAAAACGGAAATGAATAACAGCGTAAAGAGTCTGATGGTTTATAATCATAAATTTAAAATTAATATGTCAAATTTAATACTGACTTATCAAACTTATAATAAGATACATGCAATGTTCGGGTCGTCAGAATTAAACTTATAATAAGATACATGCAATGTTCGGGTCGTATCAGGAAATGGAATGTCGTGGGCCGTATAATAAAACAAATGGCAGAAATGTTAAATCAAAGCACAGAAGGCGCAGAATTTGTTTGGGTCTCAGAATGTCAGAAAGGTGAAGGTTGTGAGATTATAAAACAATTTGTTTTTGTATAGTGCCACCAATGCTTTCCAGCGTTTTAATTGTAGAGGATTGGCTATAAGACTAATTGCAACACTGATATTCAATCCAATGTTTATTTGACTTAAACAATTTGAAAAAAAAGAGTTGCCTTAACTGGGATTTGAACTCCAGACCTCTCACTTCCTAAGCGAGCGCGCAAACCACTCGGTCACGGTGAATTTATATGTTAACGGCCTGAAGAAAACCATATTATTGTAAATTAGGGTTTGTAACGGCGCTAACTGTTGTTTAACACAGGTGTAAATAATCATGGAGCTTACTTTAAGCATGTATATCTATAAAGAATAAAACAATATTAGAAATCTTCGACCATTCGGGAATTATTTTGCTTGAAAATTAATGCGCTTGTCATGTGACCATATTTACGCAGTGATCTCCCCTGATTTTTTTCGGCCTTAGTGTTACATATAAAGGGAAGTAACCGCTTCAAAAAAACGGACTACTTTCGGCATTTGCAATTAACAGCATTAGAGTCTGAAATTTCGCTACCATTATTTGTTTGGTCTGACGACCCAAACAAATAAAAACGTGTCAGCAATCAAAAACTTTAAACTATGAGTGAGTAAAGTTATTTATTTCATGTTAAATTGATCTATATAATTATAGTGAAATTATTTATTCTTATAAATATAATCATTATATATGTAGGGGCACGTAGATTTTTTTGCCAAGAACACATTATTTTTTATCATTGCATGGAAATAATTATATGTATATGTATATCTTATAGCTACAGTTTCAGGAAAAAAATATATTGACATCATCAAATAATTAGCATAGGCCTATTTATAATTTAAGACATACAAATATATTCATTTATGTATATCATTATTAAATCATTTTAAACATAGCTACATTCAAATGTCTATAAATAGCCTTTATCGCTAGACATGAGACATAGCAAACTTTCCTAGCTTTACAAAGGAAGTTATTGTTTCAAATGAGGACATCAAAATGAGTGTCTCAAGGCAAATTTATACAAAACTTAATGCATTAATAATTTACATACTTTAACTGTATAATTATAAGTAAGTTTCATGGCAAAATGCGGAGTGAGAAATTTTTATAAATATTGCCCACAAAAGGCTACATCCGAGTACTGTTCATGATGCGAACATATTTTTTTATCAATTGTATTTTTCATAATTAATAATTGTCACTTATCTACACACAAGGTATACCTGTGTAAACTGTCATATTGTCATTGATTTATAGGTATATTTTCAAACCTTTGACATTTGCGGGGATAATGTTTGCCTGTTCAGCACGCATGCATGATATATACCGCTTATTATATTGTAGGCAAATAATTTGTTGATTGTCAAGCCGGCCGAGTCAAAGTTAGCGCTAATTGAAGAAACAACGACTAACTGCCTAATTGCGGTCATTAGTTATAACCATGTAAATTATGTGCAAAAATAATGATTTTCTTGTAAAGTCATTCCTTGTTGCGATGTTTTTTGGTTATGATACAGTATGGTGTTACGTTGTGACCACACTTTGCTAAATTTAGTTATATATGACGTCATGAATAAGAATGCATATTTGTAATAACCGAAAATACCTATTTTTGTTAATATTGCGAAAATTGGAATGTGTCCACATGACTGTCTTCAAAACTTACATAGGTTTATAAATCTACTGTACGTTTGAATCTAAAATGTACACATTTTGGTATCCTTTGCCTTAACTCCAATGACGTATGAAAGAGGTCAGAACTATTTCAAAATACACCTGATTAACTTAGGTCAAACGTTACATATATCTATACAAAAAATAGTGGTCTATGACCTAAAACTTGTTTTTGTTTTTTTTCTATTAGTCCACGATCACATTGTCGCCAAAATTATTAATTATGTTGTTGTAGTAACACTAAAAATAAACAAACAAATTTGGTAATAATCATGTGATAACTGTATACATTGAATACAAAACATTCGACCTAGCAATTACATGCAATACGGATTTGGATTTTTGAAATACCAAGAATTTTGTTCCGTCTAGTTTGTTTGCGGCACATTTACTAGGATATGGTTAAGCTTGCTACAATTTTGATTATTAACCACTTCTGTTAAAGTGCTCACACTCAACAAAAAACGCAAATGACTACAATGTATTATAAATTAAGAAAGTAGCACAAAAATGTCTTCAAAAACAGTCCAAAATGATGATGTTGAATTTGACAAAAAATGTAACAATAGTTTTCTCTTCCATTCATATTACAAACACTCATAATTCATATATAAAACAATGCTTTATCATGTTATAAAATGAGGGCTTTTATTGATTGATTGATTTTCTTTAGACAGGGCGGTCAAGCATAACCTACGAAAGTGCAAGCACTTATTTCCAGTAGGTCCTTACCTCAGCAGACTCTAGAGACAGCTATGAGATACAAGGGAATCCGGGAACCAGTCCCTAGCTCCTATTGGTTCTTTTACATGCCCAGTGTATAGCACTGATACATGCGAGGATTACCTGGGTTTCGTATCGGTAAACCTCTAGTTAGGTGGGAAACACTGAAAGTGTTTCTGAAAAATCCCAAGGTTGTTACCCAGGATCGAACCCGGAACCTCAGGAGTGGCAGTCAGTGGTCTAACCAACTGAGCTATCGCGCTTTCTGTGGAAGTGCTTTAGACTTGGGGGATAGGATAGGTTCCACATGTAATGGGAATAAACAGTAAAATAAGGAGCAGAATTAATTCATTTTCATTACTTTTGGTGTGTTGTAGAATCACAATAAGGGAGTTGTTTTAACTATTATGTCATAGATGAATAAACTAAATTCACATACGTACATCATGTGACGTTACTTTGACGTCGTCCACGCACATTTTGAATTAATTACAAAATTATTTAATATACTAGTATAAACAGTTTCAGATATAGATTCAAACATGAATTAAAAACCCTCTGCAAATGAAAGCCACATAACAACCAGTCGAATATGCCTATATATTACATGTTTTTCTCTAATTCTTCAACAGTTATCTTTGTGTAAGATACAATTATTGACTAGAGAGCCATTGAATATGATGTGATATTCGCCGTAAGATGACATATTGACCTAGGCGATATGGTTAATTTGACATGCATGATGGTATTACTTTTTCAGTATTCTAAGATGATATTTGTTTCTTTTAGTGGTTATTCTAATGAAATACGATTTTTTATAAACTCAGGGTTTAACATGTAAGGACTTAATACGGTTTATCTTCACTTACCAGTTCTTGCTTTTCGTCTTTTAAGTTTCCCGACAAATAAAGTCCCACCATGATCCCGGCAAGGGTCAACACAGCCACACTGCCCACTGCCACAGAATGTGCGATCCATTTTTTCGTCCGTGCGTTCGCTTTTAATATGGCTTCCTGGAATTCATTGACAGTAATTTCAGTATTTCAGTGCTTTAATTTCTTAAAATGTAGTCATTTTAATTAGTCTGAAAATTAACGTGTTTATACATGCCGTCTGGCAAATCGGGAAATGAGCGTGTAGACTTGTGTGACTCATTTTTAGTTGTGTTTTACGTCGCATCAACACAATCAAGGGCAAAGCTTTACTGGATAGAAAGACCTTATGTGCTCCTCCGTTTATTATTTCAGGTCAGGTACGAACGGGCACCGGAGAAGAACCATCGACGTTCACTAAGCTAGCTTGTATTGCAACCTAACATCCTAGTGGGATGCGAACTCATCGCGGTGCGGGACAAGTGCTTTGATGTCAACGACCTTAACCACTCGGTCACAGACGCCTCTGCGTGACTGATACATATATAAATATTGTAACTATAGTTAACTTGACATGCATGATGTTTTTACGCGTTATACTTTCAGTATCCCAAGACGACCTTATGTCACAAATGCAAACTCTGCACTTCATTACAAACTGTGAACTTCTGTCAAATCGCAAATTAGTGTTGTTATTAATTAATTGTTACACTTTACATGACGTGATTACGTCAACGGTTAAATATAATACGTAACGTAAACATTTACAAATACGGAAAACAAAGGATAACGTTATTATTAATTTTCTTTCTATCCTTAATCTCTACTTTTCATAGTTGTAATAAACTAATAATAAAGAGTTTTTACTTTTCGCCTTTAGACATTATCCTTATTCATTACTTTTTGTACTTGTTATAATAATGAGTTTTTACTTTCCCCTTCAGACATAGTATCTAATACATTTTTGCTGTATTTATTGTGGGAATAAAACTACAAAATGTAAATTCTTCAGTAGGTCATCATGAGAAAATCGTGTACGGGATGACTTTAAAATAGTCATCAACTTAAAAGATGACATTTGAAGCCAATGACGTTTATAGTCTATAATGTGTGCACTGTCAGAACACGGAGTTTGTCTTCGCTTTTTGTTAGGTCATTACGTAAGCTTAGAAAAGCTACAGTATAGTTCATATTTGAAAGCAAACTTCAGACCAATGTCTTTTCGAAACATAAGTGTAATTTTTGTTATTGAAAATATATTAAAGTTAGGTTCGAAAAATATCGAAAAATATAAAAAAGAAGTACGGTAGGTGTATGAATATGTACGGATATATTGTACTGAATAAATGTCATCAGAATCAAGAATTTTTTTTAAATGGTTTCATATCTTACAATTGACGCGACATAACTATACAGGCTTCATTTATTCTTCATGTTTAGATATATTTAATGGCGACTAGTTTTTTATATTCAGAAAACAAGAGTCTGAATTTGTAAAGTTGCCTGTTTTATAAACAATGCTAATAATAAAGAAAGACAAATGCAAAAGAAACGCTATTATCAGTTATTTTTATCGATTTAAAGTAATATTGTCAAACATTATTCAAATCTCGATAAAAATGCAAAAAAGTTCAACCTTAATGTTGCATATCTTTTAAAGAAAACTTATGGGGACTTCCTGCTCAAAGCATCGAAAGTAAGGACAAGTATTTTTCTATGAATTTCTTATTTTCAGATTGGTTTCTAATACTTTCTTCCTGCCAACGTGCTCAAGAAATGAAACCTCCCAGTGAAATATATTTCATATTCACTGTAAATATTTTCACTTTTTATTTTTACTTGATAACCAAGTGTTTCAATTTTCAAGAGTTATGCATGTCAGCATTTTCTATCAGGTCTATTCTAATTTAGTAAGAAAACAAAAAGAAAAAGAAAAAAATGAATAATAGAAAATAATGAAATATTCGTTAAAAAGTGATTTAATAGAGATCACATTTCACAGTAGAAACATCCTAAATATATTTCACAATATAGAATTAATCTTTAAATATTACCTTATTTTCTTTACTATGAATGAAAATCCGTTTGTGTTTTTATACTCTTAATATTTTATACTCCTTTCTATTAATATGATATTTCGCGGATTTTTTTTTAATTCCATTACAACTTACGTGAGCATCAAATCCTTTTTCAGCATCAATTCTGGGTAAATATTTACTGCTGTAGGTCATATTGCTGTATTGTCCCGATACCTTCTGGTCTGTTCCTCCTTTCATTATTTACAAAACAATTTTCACTAACTTCTTACACGATCTATTAATTATCACGAACCAATTAAATGTGGGCGACTACAGAACACACGTCCATTCACGTTAGCGACACTTTCGTTACCGTCTTCCCAAAACTCCAGTCGCGGTAAAAGAGGAACGAATTTAAACCATGCGAAACGAAACGTTAAATAGATTAACACGTTTTTCTCGTCTTTGCGTTACGTTACCTTTATAATAATAATAATAAATATATTTTACGGTACGTGATAATACCGTGCCGCTGTATAATTATGCAAGATTATGCGTAAACGTCGTAAAACGCGACGTAACGTTGACAGGGCCTGGTTATTACGGCTATGAAAAACCATGTTCGTGACAGCTTTTAATTAGAATAAAACCGATATACCTTGTCTAAACACAAAGAGACATTTGTTGTTTAAGTTTAAGGTATAATAATCAATAAGTAAATTATCAATAAGCCCTTTGAAAAAAATGCATGACGCATACGTATTTTAATTTCGTCTAAGCGTTTGAGTACTTAATAGAAACGGCGTACTAGAAATAATTGCGGACCACATTAGGTGCATCACGGTAAAGTGGTTATATAATGATTCAGCATTTTTACTTATTAAGACAATGATGAATTGACACCATTATGATGATTTCTGGACAAAAATAAATAAACCCAAAGAAACCCGCATTCAAAGAAAAGTGCTTCTGTTAATTTGGCCATTTATTGCATTTAAAATGCCTATAATATTATTTCAAGCATATTGTTGAAGAGAAATTATGTTGAAAATTATATCTATGACCTGGCCAAAACAGATTATTTATTATTTTACAGCATATATTTTAATACATATTATTTGGTATTTTAAAAGAAGAAAAAGAAAACTTCATCCATGTCTATAAAGCTTGAATCGGCCATCCATCTTAAATGTCATTGTCATAATTGGTTCAAACATAAAGCCTGTAACACCCGGATTTCACACGATCACGGTACGATTCACACGAGTGCACATACGGTTCCAAACGATCGCCATACGACCAATGCGGTTCAAGTACGAATCATAATTATGTGACATACACGGTATAGTACGGGTATAGACGGTCTCACACGGCCTCGTACGGTCTTTCTACGTCAGCACGAATTGCACAACGAAAACCTGCTGCCACCCTCGACTGCTAGATCTACCCAGAGTACTTGCTGCATCGCACTAGAATGCATCCAAAGAAAAAGGTTCCCACGCATAGAAGGGACATCCGGGCCCGCCGATCACTCCAACCTCGTGACCCTGCCGAGCCTGGTGAGCTGGGGGACGCAACAATATCTATCTGTCTGATCATGATTTCTAATTCCCTTATTCTGTCATATATTGCATCTGGCATTGTTTTATATAACTATTATTCACATATATAGGTGTTTATTCGTTGAAAGTTCGAAAACTTATTAAGCCAAAGCATCAATATGGGTCAATATATATCAAAATATACAAAAATATGTAATACTTTGAGCATAACTCGAACAAAAGTCGGTAGAACCCTATATAAACCCTGTGAAAGCCGAGTAAATCGATCGAGTAAAAGACTTGTTTAATCGTATCAGACCGCACTAGTCCGTACTTGGAATCGTACGTACAACAATCGTATGTATTCGTATGTAAAACGTGTTCAAACCTTGCTAGACCGAGTATGCCCGTGCTTTATTCGTACATACTCGTGCTACATTCGAGTCTAACTCGTACCAACTTATCTCATGGCACGATTGGAGCTAAATACTCGTACCAGTCAATCCGTTTATAACCGAGTATACCGTATGGGAACCGTATGCCCAACCGTGCTCTGTGTGAGATGGGCTTAAGCTATTTCTTTTTTACTTAAACATATTTCATTGCATATACATACATGCCTGAACTAAGGATATTTTGTCTTGTTCCATTTCGTGACCAGTTTTCAACTTATGATATTTTGCCTTGTTTTACCTCGTGACCAGTTTTCAAATGATGCTATTTTGCCTTGTTCGACTTCGTGACTAGTTTTCAACTGATGATATTTCGCCTTGTTTTAATTGATTGACCAGTTTTCAACTGATGCTATTTTGCCTTGTTCTACTTCGTAACTAGTTTTCAACTGATGATATTTTGCCTTGTTCCACATCGTAACTAGTTTTCAGCCGATGCTATTTTGCCTTGTTCTACTTCGTAACTAGTTTGCAACTGATGCTATTTTGCCTTGTTCCACTTCGTGACCAGTTTTCAACCGATGATATTTTGCCTTGTTCCACTTCGTGACCAGTTTTTTTAACTGAGTATATTTTGCCTTATTCCACTTCGTAATTAGTTTTTAACTGATGATATTTTGCCTTGTTACACTTTGTGACCAGTTTTTTAACTGAGTATATTTTGCCTTATTCCACTTCGTAATTAGTTTTTAACTGATGATATTTTGCCTTGTTACACTTTGTGACCAGTTTTTAACTGAGAATATTTTGCCTTGTTTCATTTCGTTACCAGTTTTCAATTGAGGATATTTTGCCTTGTTCCACTTCGTTACCAGTTTTCAACTGATGGTAGTTTGCATTTTTCCACTTCGTGTTTACTTTTCAACTAAGGATATTTTGCCTTGTTCCACTTCGTGACCAGTTTTCAACTGATGATATTTGACTGGTTCCACTTCGTGACCAGTTTTCAACCGATGCTGTTTTCCCTTTGTACACTTCGTGACTAGTTTTCAACTGATGATATTTCGCCTTGTTCCACTTCTTGACCAGTTTTCAACTGATGATATTTTGCCTTGTTCCACTTCATGAACAGTTTTCAACCGATGGTATTTGCCTGGTTCTACTCCGTGACCAGTTTTCAACCGATGACATTTTGTCTTGTTACACTTCGTGACTTGTTTTCAACTGATGACATTTTGCCTTGTTACACTTCGTGACCATTTTTTAACTTAGAATATTTTGCCTTGTTTCAATTCGTGACCAGTTTTAAACTGATGATATTTTGCCTTGTTCCACTTCGTTACCAGTTTTCAATTGATGGTAGTTTGCATTTTTCCACTTCGTTTTTATTTTTCAACTGAGGATATTTTGCCTTGTTCCACTTGGTGACCAGTTTTCAACTGAGGATATTTTGCCTTTTTTTCCACTTCGTGACCAGTTTTCAACTGATAATATTTTGCTGTGTTCCACTTCGTAATCAGTTTTCAACCGATGGTATTTTCCTTATTTCACTTCTTGAGCAGTTTTCAACCGATGCTATTTTGCCTTGATAAACTTTGTGACTAGTTTTCAACTAATAATATTTTGCCTTGTTCCGCTTCGTGACTTGTTTTCAACTAATATTATTTTTATATATAGTGCTTATTAGTTAGGAAATATCACAGACACTTAGTGTGTGGAGCTCCAAACGCCTTAAAGCTGCATGTCTTCAGATGAGCCAAAATATTTCAATAAAATCAAGTATGAGAAAAATGTACCAACGTTTTAGGAAAAAATAAAAGATTCAAGTTTCAAGTAATAATTGTCATGTTGGCTGATTTTTCAGTAATTATATTTATATTTCTACTGCATTACTAACGCAGTTAGGGCTATATTTGCATAATTTGATCTCTTTTTGGTATTAAGCATGGGATGTAAGTGCCATTGATAATGTGCAAATTACTTCCTTATTTTATACTTTATGAATTCTTTTTCATAAAAATCAGTATGAATCTGGAGGCGTGCTGCTTTAAGATCGGAATAAATTGTATTTTTGTTTATCCCAGTACATACATTTATCTTTTATATAATAGATTCTACCATGTTTTAAAAATCACACTACAACTTCTATTACATACACTGCAATTTTAAGGAGCTGTATTTGTTCGTTTGTTTTTGTGTGTTTTTTTTTTTTCGGGAGTGGGGGGGGGGGTAAGTGTGTGTTTTTCCACTGATTTTAATTTACTTTATTATATACTTACAAATGAAATATTGAGACATTTTGAAAAAATGAAATGCGTATTTTTTATTTTCCGTATTTTCACTGTTCAAATAAATTTTCACTGCAGTGAAACATTTTTTCCGTATTTTCACTGATGTCTTGTCGGACTACTTTCTTTTAAAGTCTGCAAGTACACAAAATTTAATGGATAGTCTTTCAAATTGTCATGTCAAAAGAGAAAAATGTATATAATAAGCAGAAAAGTTTTTTCTATGAATACATGATCGTTTACATCTTCTGGCATGAAAATTATCATATTTCACCCGTGGCTACCGCTCGATGAAAATAAATCATGTATTTATAGAAAAAAAACCTTGAATATCCTCTATGTATTACGGCGGTCAGTCTGTTAAGGACAGTGCCAAATGGTACATGTAAGTGTGACGAAAGATATCCAATAAAATAAAATGAAAATTTTCACTGGCCAGCTCGGATGTTAGTCAGACTACGGACCGTGGTCAGACGTTGGATCAATTGCAATTTCCGGCCATTTCCGTCAGTCTTCTGATAAGGAATAACTGTTGACGCTCTTATATTCCATTGCTCTATTACGGTAACAGGCTTATCATGGGGGAAACATTTACTGTGGCATTGAAAATGTAATCATTCGATTTTTTCTAATATTTATTGTATTATTGAAAGAAAGATGAAAATGAAAAGAATTTATATCCAAAGTCTTCTGTCAGGTCAGGCTTCACCGCAATAGGTATCTGAAAATATAAAAGTGGTTGTCTGATAATTTTTCTTTTAGAGTTTTTTTTTTTTTTTTTTTTTTTTTTGGAGAGCTTATTATTTGTATTATTTTCATTATTATTAAATATACAATCAAAACCTGTTACTAGTTGGGGTTTTTTTTATTACAAGATGATGTCGTAAAATATCGAGCGGGTCATAATCATGATTCCAAGATTTGCATGATTTTCCCTAGTTTTGCGTGATTTTCATTAAATAAAACGTTGGTTGATATCCAAAACTCAGAGGTGTTCAGCATACTTGCAGTCACCCAGGGAAGGGCCCCCTAACCCCCAACCCCTATGATAAGGCATGGAATACCAAGCTATGTCTATACTAAATAATGTTCTAATATAACAGATAAATTTTTAATTGTCATAGCACAATTGGTTGCCAGTTGCAATGCTAAATTATACCCTTTACCCCTCATCTAGTATGCAAACAAACGAATGAAAGTAAAGTAGGCAACTGTTATTTTATCTTGTTATTATGATTCAAAAAATTA